GAAAAATTTCTTACGTAAAATAGCAGAAAAGCATAGTTACAACTGAATTTCTCAAACGTACCAATCAAACGTATCTATCAAACAAAATCCAAAAGATTTGATTGATCAAGAGAAGCTATTGTGATACAAGCTGGAAAAAGTCCTTGGACCCAGTCTTTACTCTTCCATAAAGGAAATGACCTGGGTACTAGATATTGTCAGGGCGTATCATCATGACAGTATCTTTCAGCTTGAAATTCCACGTTGACCATGTTAAGCCCATTGTATTATATTCAGCATTGAGATCAGAGTACAAACAAGCCCCACTCAACCCATCAAACCACCAGGCGCTCTTGAAGCGCGTAGCGCATGAGCAGTCGGTGCAGAGGTCGTTGTCTTGATCCTTGGTTGAAAATGGGTGCCCTGAATGTCTTTTAAGAGAGTCTCCAGCAGTACCTGCAATAAAGATAGAAAATATATTTACAGCCGTATAGTTAATCGAGACCTTTAGATCCGACGACGAGAACGAGAACGAGTACGAGTGCGAGAACGTGTTTAACTTTTAAAGAGAGGCACTACTATCTTTTTGTAGTCGTGATCGTGTACGTAGATTGAAACTTTAAATGTAAAAATCGGGAATCAACTACGATTTAGTGTTAACCACGCGCACAGGACCAATTTTAAAACGCGTACTCGATCTCGTACTCGTCGTCGTATCTAAAGGTCGCTAGTTCCAGTGGGAGGAGGGAGGGTCTCGGGGTTAGGAACACCATTTTTTTTCTTCATGTTATACTAGTTCAGTGAGTAATTGCAACCCTCTTTGACATTCACTAATTTATATTAATTCATCTGGATTTCTGAGCAGCCCTTTATATACTACTCCCTAGCCAACCTCCTAGATGCGGAAATTGTCACTTCATTTCTCTGGCCTGCCGTTCCCTCGATTTGTCAGGGTTTTGGGATGAAAGACTGCCCTTTCATGTTTATTGAACCCTTAAACAACCTCTGGGCTGATCTAAGGGCACGGCTAACTCACAGATAGAACCCTGAAGCAACCTCTGGGCTGATCTAASTCAGGGCATGCCTAACTCACAGATCCAACCCTGAAACAACCTCAGGACTGATCTAAGTCAAGGCATGGCTATTCACAGATCAAACCCTTAAACGTCCTCTAGGCTGATCAAAGTCACGACATGGCTAACCCACAGATTGAACCCTGAAACAATCTCTGGACTGATCTAAGTCAAGGCATGGCTATTCACAGATCAAACCCTTAAACGACCTCTAGGCTGATCAAAGTCAGGGCATGACTAACTCACAGATCGAACCCTGAAACAACCTCTGGGCTGATCTAAGTCAGGACATAGCTAACTCACAGATAGAACCCTGAAACAACCTCTGGGCTATTAATGTTTTTTTTTTTTTTTGGTGCCGATGATCTCGATCTGTCCCACCCTACCCCCCTCCCCCCCCCTTCTACCCTCTACCCTCTACTCCCCATCCCCTGATTCTTACCGCGAGTATAGGTGACATTAAGTCTAAACTTAGTCTCCTTCTGAGTGAGACTAAAATTGTCGTAGACTGCGTACGCTTTTGCACCTTTATTATTTTTCAGGTCGATCCTCAGAACTGTGTTCCCCTTGGATGCCAGGCGCTGAATGCGATCTAAGCCAAGCCAAAACTCTCCGCCAAGGTTACCAAAACCCCCCGAGTACTCTTTCCAGCCGAGATAGAAACTTTGTGTGCCATCGAAACGACGCTGAATGATCACCCATCCTCCTCCATCGGTTGTTTGGTCGCACTGTACGGAGAACATTCCTCTTCCATCTGGGTCAATACTGAAAAGACCATCACTGTCCTTACCTGACCTCATAGCATCAGCGCAGTCTTTATCTGGAATAAAGTAGGCCTCTTTAGCAATGTTTTCCCATACCTGACCATGTGTCATTCCCTTGAGTAT